CCCCAAAACCCCAAAACCCCAAAACCCCAAAACCCCAAAACCCCTAAAGATCCAAAGAAAGCTGAATATTAAATATCATTATTAAAAATGGAGGTCAAGCCAACAGAAGATTTATGGACTAAAACCCATATAGGTAAGATTTGAACAGATTATTCATTACTATTACTCACCAGAAAATAATATTTCATTTAGATGTAAATTACTGTCATGCAAACACTAGAAAGAGTAGCAGTTGTGGATACTGTAAAAATAATAAAGATAAGATTGCCAGACTTACAGAGCTTGATCAGAAGTATTCCTACCAATGGGGGTTCTCCTCTCCCAAAATGACTGTGCAAGACTACCAAGATCTCATGAATAAAGGATGGAGACGCTGTGGAGAGTAACACTTATTGTAACTTTAGATATTACTACAAGCCAGACAACCAGAAGTCTTGCTGACAACTCTACACTATCAGGCTCGAAGCTGAGAAGTACCAGCCCAACAAGAAACAGCGCAAGATCATGAACAGGTTCAACAGGTATTTGCTTGGCACATACGAGCCTGGCAAGAGTGCTAGCAATGAAGAAACCAAAATGGAAGTTGATGGTCACAAGCCAGAAGACTCAGTACTCACTGAACTGAACAAACAGTTGCAAGCTGTAATCCAAGAAAATACTGAAGCTTTGGAGTCCAATGGTATTGACACAAGCAAGATGGACATACACAAAGCTGTGTTTACTCGTTTCAAACAGCAAAACAAGAAGCACAAGAAACAAAAGATGCAGAAGAATAAAGATATAGACAGACAAGCTCCAACTTACTCAAGTTCATTCATGATATCTTTGTGCAGAGGAGCCAATGGTAAACAACAGTTCAACTTTATAGCTCAAGAAGCCACCTCTAGCATTTGTGAATCTTTGAAGCAGAAACTCGATTGAGAAGACCTCAAGATTACATCTGTTGAGTGTTCGAAATTTGGACATTTAAATGTGTTCTGACAAAACCCTGATAATCACTTAGAAGCATCTTCAACTACACACAGTAACAAATGTTTGATGAAGAATCTAGAAATGAATCCAAAAGCAACCAAGCATGAAGAAGCCAAGCATGAAGAAGGCAAGGAGGAAGCAGAAGAAGAAGCCAAAGATGATCCCAACCTGGAATACACAAAGTACTTTGACGAGTACTTTCCTATCAGCAAGGAAGATGTTGAGAAGCATGGGTTCAAGCACAAGTACTCAGTCAAGATATTCAGAGCCATGGTCACTGATGAATCCTTCGATGTTTACAAGAGATATGAAGAATCTATTCATGAAAAAGCAGAAAAGCAAAAATCCTCTTATGGCCGCTTTCTTTGTTGGAGCCCTTTATATGATCCAAAGTAATTTCCTTCTTAAATCTTAGGGATGAAGTAGAATCAAAAAGAAAGCCTAGGACCGACCAGAAAGACCAAGACAATGACAGAGTATTCAAAGATGAAGGAGTCTGGCCAACCTTCCACGGCTCCTACCACATGTACCATTATCTGGATGTAAGCGAGTGTCTCACTTTAGGACGAAGTGTTCGCCATCGGAGTGATCGACATCACGCCGAACGTGATCAGCTCGGTGTACTTCATGCACAACGCTAAGTTCAACTTTTTGTCGCCCGGAGTCATCGGTGCAGTCAGAGAAATCGAGTATATCAACAGAATCCGCAAAGACTTCGACGAGCAGATGAAGTTCTACCTGATGGGTTTCTACATCCAGGACTGACAGAAGAGTATTTACAAGGGAGAGTACTACCCTTCGCAGCTTCTGTGTCCAGAGACTTTCAGATGGTACGACTTGGAACCACTAAGGAAGAAGATCGATGAACATGGGTATTGCAGATTTGCAGAAGAAGGAGTAGAAAAGATCGAAGATCATAAAATAACTCAATCAGAAGCCGAAGATTTTTCAAAATCATTCTTTTTCTATTTCAAAGACTACAAAATGATCTTGCCTATCAGTATGGTAAACCCGGCTGTAGCAGGAGCTATTTCTGAAGCAATCGAAGGTATCTTTCAGTATGTTAAATCTTTTAGAAATTTTCAAGAATGTTGGAAAAGAATTAATGCCAAAGCTGATGTTCTTCGCATAAGATGATTTCAATATTTCTACATATGTTTGGGGTTTTGGGGTTTTGGGGTTTTGGGGTTTTGGGG